GACAACTGAACAGCCCTGCGCCGCCCCCTTGTCTCGTGAGGTGAAATTCCTGTCTCTGGCCTTATTGATATTTTTTTATTTTTAAAAATTTATTTTTATATCATCATATTTAAAAATTTTAAAAATAAAAATAAAAATTTTAATAGAAAACAAAATAAAAATAATTTTTTTAAAAAAATGCTTTTAAACTGTAAAAATAAACATGCTATTAAGATATTATATAAGATTATACAGGACAAGGCACTTAAATATTCAACCATGACATCTGTTAACAATATTAATTGTGTTTTCAATCATTTCCTATCCGTTTTTAAACATTAAGATCAGTTGGTGTATCAATTAAGATAAAATTTTGAAATGAATGATTTTAAACAAAATACAAAATTTAATAAATTTCAAATCCCAAAAAAAGAAAAGAAAATTGACCAGCCCATGCTGGCCATCAAACTATTTAACACATCACAAGAACTTATTGCAGGGACTGATCATTGTACAAAGATCTACGACACCACCTTACGGTACATATTCTTCAGTGTACATTAAATTGGTTCGTGCAATAATTTTTCCAAAAGATATCGCACCACCAGTGCAAATGTACGACTTGGAAATGAATAATACTCTATTCGCCTTTTCTTTTTATCCTTTCGGTATCGCCAATATTGTAAGAAATATTTTGCAAGATCATATTCACAGGCAAAACAGAGGAGCCAATAAACATGTACTCGAAAAGGGTATAATTGTGGCAAGTTGCTCAAATAAACGAGGCAAGAAAATCCCAGCCACAAAAGAGGCGGGAAGAATATCTTATTACTGTGCTTACGGAGGTCTAAAAGGGGGCAATGGGGGCTCATTTTGTAAGCGAATCTATATTATGTTAATGTGCAGACTCAAAATTGGGATCTAATCCCCACCAGCTGGTGAAAATTCTTGAGGAAATCCTCTTGCTGATGATATTATAAAAGACAAAGAAAGGACTTGATAAAGAGCCAGTCTTTTCGACACTGATGCCCTTTTCGTTTCTCTTCCCTCTTATACCTTTGCTTACGGAAGAGAATCCTACATTGTTATACCCTCGAGGGTGGGAAAAAAAATAATCTCCCACTTGCACAGCCCTACCATTTCCTCCTGCTTATAAAGAGCAGCCATGTCAATCTCTTGCCCACACCATCCCTTGACTCAAGTCTTCTCCCTTGACTGAGGGATTGATCTTTTTCTCTTGAAGTTTCTTTCGTCTTAGGCTTGTAGCTTGTTCTTTTGCTTTAGGAGTCAGCCCACATTCCTCTCTCACCACCGTCTAACCTACCAATCCCTCCACTACGTACCCGATTATCAACAAGGGAAATGGCTTATTTCATGTCTTCAAATGGTTCTAGCTCCTCTTGGACGCCCAAACAAAACAAGCTGTTTGAGAAGGCACTGGCTGTCTATGACAAAGACACGCCAGACCGCTGGCAAAATGTGGCCAAGGCTGTGGGTGGCAAGTCAGCAGAAGAAGTTAAGATGCACTACGATCGTCTTGTGGAGGATCTTACATATATAGAATCCGGCCAAGCTCCACTGCCAAACTACAAGCCCTCAGGGAGCAATAGTAGAGGGCTTGCTGAGGAGCAGAGGTACGTGATGAACGTTTCTGGAAACCAGCATACTCATCAATTACAGGATAAAAACCAACTTCACTGTTCTTGCATGCAATATTGTTTTATTCTAGGCTCCCTAGCTCAGCGCACACTGTTTGCTACGCATCTTACACATGTTCAAGACATGAGCATTCGCATTCCCATCTATTATCCTTGGAAATTGAAAGGGCATTAGCAGGCACACACTAAGCTCCTTAAAAACGTACGTAGTTAATCCAAACATCTGTCAAACGAGTCTACTTCAGTGCTGCCGCATTGAGCTCCCCTCAATTTACGATTTTATACTATCGGTACTGTTTAAACTTTAAAGCATGTGCTTGTGTCTCTGCTGTCAGCTGCTTCCTTCCTCTCTACTCATTTGCACGTATATATATTGCCAACTGCCCACTGTATATATTGCCAAAAGCCACACGGCGCCTACTTCTACTTTCAAACCAGTGCAGCAAACTTCCTTAGATTGTGTATGATGTAACATAAAACGTCACAAGTTTCTTGTTCCAGTATTAACTGCGGATTTTGAGGGTTCGTATGCCGACCAAGTATTCATATATGTATATCATCTTTTCATAATTCTCTTGCCTTTCCTTTCCTAGTAGCTATAGGATTTAGGGTAAACCTAACACCGACCCTTGCTCCCTCTGGATAGTCTTAAATATTGTAAAGACTATCCATTATAAATTCAACTTCCTAAGGAAAACAAAAAAGAAGCCCACATGAAATCTAATCCTGCTTGTATGATATAGATCACATCAACTTGGACATATATATGCTTTGGAACGGGGCAAAAATTATTATAAATTAGCCAGTGCTTCTAATGCCTGATAAGAATCATTGTGTGAACACAGGAAAACACAATTTTTTAAATCAATTTTCACATTGCTCTATAACCCAATTCAGTAATCCCCAGACCTGCTCACGACACGGGTTCTTGGATCTAGCCAGGACTTTAGACAGCATTACAAGCTGAAACAAAAATTTCACTCACCCAGTTGCCCAAAGTAAGCTCATCTATTCTAAAAAAAATAAATAAAACAAGTCCCTTGATCGAGTTCCTATACAATTCTGATTTCAAGGATAATGTGGTTGTTGACAACCCACTACAGTTAATTATTTAAAACTAAACACTCCAACTAGGGAATTAAATATAATTATGCATCACTAATGCTGTTTTTTTTTTTTTGGCAGGCTTATGAGGAATTTAAAGCTGCAATGAAGCGCCGAAGGGTCCAGATCTGTAAAAACTATATGCATGCAAGACTAAGTACTAAAAAAGAAGTGAATCTACTTGCTGGTTCTGGTTCTGTCCAGGCTTAGTTACTGTAGTAATAATGAAAGCAACGTGTACAAGTCATGTGTTATCACACTTCTGAAGCTTGTACGTACGATGCATCTACTTTAATGATGTTGTCTCCTGTTATATAAACTATAAAGTACTGTGTTCTATAATTTACTCCCCTTTTTAATCCTTTCCAACCCAAATCAATCACCTTAAAAATCTGGTTCGGGTGCTAATAAACTGGTTTCCTCTCCATAATATTGCCTTTGTTTTGTCAAAAGACTATGAAAATAATTTTTTCCCGCGGACACACCAGCTCTGCCGAGCAGAGAGAACGCATGAAATATTGAACATTATAAAGAAAAAATTGAACAATCCAATTAAAGTCAAGTATTGGTGATTTTCCTAATTAAGAAAATGATCAATTGAATGTTTTGGTTGATACACGAATTGATCTTGATCAACTTCTTGTTATCGAATTTAATTATTATCAAACATGGTCTTCCATGTGGAGACCATGGAAAGCATGTCAAATTCCTTGGGAAATAAAATGCTATCTGCCATGGACAAGCTGGTTTACACATGATGCAGTAAGTTGTTTGTAAATAAATGAAATATACGTGAAGAAAGATTTTCATATCACATCAACTAAATACAGGTTTTAGGTTTCTTGATTATATATCAATCCAGGTGAAGAAAATTTCTTCAACAGGAATTAATTGGTCTGGCGTTTAGTCTCAAGAATACGGGTTTAATTTCGAGAAATCATCAACCAAAAGCAGCAGCAGGCCCTCGTGCCATGAGACTCGGATAAACACCAAACCAGACGACCTGTTCATATTAATTTATTGTATTTCATTTTGGAGAGGGAAGATCAATATATTATCGGTTCCCTTTTGCAGATTGTACATTTTTAATTATTAGAGGAAGGTTTCTTCGGAAATCTCCAAGTTTATACGGTAGATGCAATGCCATCGAGATGTTAATTGCTTGTATGAATACAAATTACTCTTTTGTAGAGAAATCATTGCAAGTTTCTTTAACAAGATAGCATGCCATCATGTAATGTTTACCTCTGAATTTTCTCTATGAAAAATTATTAAAAACTACAGGAAGACGAATGAAGAAATATTACTCCGAGAATGCTTCATGATAGCTTTGTAATTGGAATAAAATTCAAATATATGACAGTCTTCAAAACTTTAAATATTTTTAAACACTGATAAAAATAAAATCATCCTTAAAAACTATATGAATCGAAGAGAAAAATAAAAGTTAATTTTCATAACTTAATAATGTTATTATTTCTTTAGCCATTAAATTAAATAAAATAAAAAATGATTTTATTGTTTGAATATTTTTTTGTATCCTTGAAGCAAGCTAGAAATACAATTAGCAGATTAGTGTAAACAAGTTTATAGGTTAAATGTCTATTTAGAATGCGGGTGCGGTTGTGATTTGAGAGCTTTTTTTTTATATAAAAAATATAGTAGATATTATATTTAAAGTATTTTTTATTTATAAATATATTAAAATAATATTTTTTATTTTTTAAATTTTATTTTTAATATTAACACATTAATCCAAAAATATAAAAAAATAAATTAATTTAAAATTTAAAAAAATTCCAAAAAAAACTGCAATGCCAAACAGAATTTCAACCATTTTCAAATTAAAAATATCAAAAAAATAAAAAAAATATTTTAAATAAAAAAATACTTTTTAAATACACGAAAACAAATTAACATGGAAGGGTGCTCCTTCAGCAGCCGCGTTTCTAAACGAGATCCTCATCGTAAAAGGACACTATCGATCAAATTAGTAGTGAATTGAGGCAATTGATCAAACTCGTAAAGTAGAGGGACCGAGGGTGTAATTAAAAAAACAATTAGTTTCTTCGTGGTTAAATTTAACGTCAGGATCACAGCATTAAAAGCATTCGAGCAAAACCTGCTGGATCGTATACCCATCCCAAACAAAACGACCCCACCACGCATCCCTCATGCAACTCACCAGACACTCCCATGGCCCCCACACTGCTCTCCTCCACCGTCCGATAACGTCAGAACAGTCTAATCGGCCCAGATTCTCACCCCACGCACGCATCACAAACACATCATTGACCGCAACACAGGCAATCGAATCCGCACAGTTGACATGTCCGATTGGAATCGTTAACAAGCTGGGTACGTAGACGTCGGCGAAAACGCTTGGTGTTTACCCATTTCAAGATCGAGCATTTCGATCTTGAAGGGCTGGAGATGGAGTGAAGGGGACGAGGCTGTAGGCCAGGTGGGTCGTAGGATTTAAGGAGAGAGATGTGATTTATGGGATTTAGGGAGGGTGCCGTGTAGGGTCCATGAAGTGAAGATGGATATGAGTGAGTGAGACTGAAGTTTGTTTGAATCAAAGGGGAGAGTTTTTGTTAAGGTTTATTGGGGGTGAAGGGTGATTGATTTAACGGTCTTAAACTTGGTTCGAAAGACAGCTCAGTCTTGGTTGGGCTTTCTTTCTTTTGTTTTTGTTCCCTTTTTTTTTTAAAAAAAAAAAGAAAAAAGATCCATTGGCCTGGTTTTGTACAATGCAGATTAATTTTCAGATTAACCCAGCAGAAGGATTTAGAATAGGTTTGTCATCAATTTAGGTATGAATTTGTGGGAAGAAGATTATAAATTAATTAGTTTCAATACTTGGGAGTATCTTTAATTATAAAATAAAAAATTTATAAGGTAGCCTTTATTCTTGAATAATTTCTCACACTTTCTTTGCATGAGCATGAATTGTACTCATTTATATGTGAGTATTATCATTTACCTGTGTTGCCGAGTAGGATTAATTTAAAAAAAAAAGTTAAAAAGAAATAATCATCCATTGATATATATAAAAATTAAAAAATATAGAAATTAACACTTGACTCGTGTTATAAGATTAGGATAATATTATAAAAAATAAAATAAAATAAAATAAAATATAAAGCTTAATTTTCAATCAACAAAAATGATAAAAAATAAAATTAAAAAAATCAACAAAAATGATAAAGGATGAAGTTAAAAAGAAATAATCATGCATTGATATATATATATAAATTAAAATATGTAGAAATTGAGTTGACATGACCTGTGAACTTTGTAAATAAGTTTAAAAACAAACTAGACAATTGAAAAAAAAAACATAATTTAATTAAGAAAAATTAAAATGATATAATTTTAAAAAAATATTAAGACGATAACATATTGCATCAACCCAAGTCAGCTTAGGTTAATATGTAAAATTTGTGATTTGAGTTACGAGATTGTAATATCATCATAGAAAGCAAATTAAAAATATATATTAAAGTTTAATTCTCAATTAATCTAATAATTAAAAATATCTATTAAAAAACAAAAAAACCTAAGTTAAATCGAGTTAACTTATTAAATCTGAATTAAAAAAACCAAGATAAATCAACATAAAAAAAATAAAATAAAAAATAAAAAAGCTCAATTCCTAATCAATCAAATATTAAAGGATGAAACTAAAAAATAACAAAAGAAATACTCAAGTCAACCTAGTTTAACCTGCTAAATACTTGACTCATATTATAAGATTAGGATAATATTATAAAAAATAAAATAAATTATAAAGTTCAATTTTCAATCAACAAAAATAATAAAGGATGAAATTAAAAAAATTAATTATAAAAAAAATAAAATAAAAAATCACCCAAATTAACCCATAAAACTCATAACTTTAATTATAAAATAAAGATAATTTTATAAAAAATAAATAATAAAGGCCATTCATATAAAAATAGTAATTATAAAATAAAAAAGAAAAGAATAAAACAACGTTTTCAATAAACAATACCGTACTAGGAGGGGATCAATAATTAGTTTCCACTCCTCTATAAGTTCTTGTTTAATTATATTATTTTTTCTCAGAGGAACGTATTTTATTTTCATTGAAATCATTACAAAGACCGATTCACCATTTAAATTATGGACTGGGCAATAAAACAATTAGAAAGTATTGTATTGATCTAAATTTTTTATTTAATAGATAATATCTAGAATGCATTTTTTTGTAATTTTTAATAATTCAATCATAATTATAAAATAATCAATGATACATCATTTACAAAATATTGTTGACAAATTTATTGGTGTATAAAAATTTTATGTAATAATTTAACCACCATGTTTTATAATAATTTATGAGTTTTGGTGGATGCTGAATGATATGAAGTCAGGGAATAAATGCCATACCGTACATAAACGCTACCCTTGTTCACGAATTGATGCCATATGTATAATTAATTATTGTGCTTCTCCTGTTGCGCATGTGAAAGTAGTCAACACAATGCGCAGGTAAAAGTCTCCAGACCAGGGTCATGAACTTGATAGATCACTACACCCTCACGACAGGTGAACAGAAATTATACAGATAAAATGTAATACAATAGTGATTTTTTTCAAATAGATTATGTTTAAATAATATTTTTTTGTTTAGATCAATAAAAATATAAAAAAGTTAAGTTGAAATAAATAAAATTTATTTAAAAATATTTTTAAAACATAAATCAAGTATGTATTTGGTAAGATAGTATAAGATATGTTTTCAATTAAAAGTATTTTGTAATATCTCCAGCCCATTTTTCTTATAATATTAAATGTGCCAAAGGGGATAAATCCATTGACTTTGCTTTCTTATTGACCTCAAATTCAATTATATTTCATGCGAAACTCAACGGATTACCTTTTTCTTTATCAATAATTAAATTTACGTCTGATTAGTGTTGTAAGAGAGTATGAATAAATATAAAAAGGTTAGAAATGAATTTGAATAAAAAAATATTTTAAAAATAATTCTTTATACTTTCGAAATACAAAACATGTCCCCACTATATTTATAAACGGCGACCAATGGATTGTTAAATGGTGGATGAGGATGGATCAAACATGGCCCAGCCCTACTATTTTATGGGTTCAATTACAGGCTAAGTTAGGGACATAGACAGATATGACATCAAGCCTAACATGGCCCATATGGCAGCCATTATATCAATTAGGATTCATGCACATGTTCCTCGTATGATTGTGTTAAAACTTGAATAGAATCGAGCACAACGAACGAAGAACAAGGATACAATCTCTTACTTCGTTCCCCTTCTCTGATAATAATAACGGGAAAA